TGGGGGGGGGGTTAAAATCACCTTTATTATTACAAGATGAAAGATTGCTTGGATAAAGCCTAGGTCTTTTGATACACCACTTAGAGGATGGCGCAAGGCAGGTATAAAGTCCACATGTTACTACGTGTCATTGTTGATATACATTGTACTGTGTACAACTCTCCAGAAATAAAGTTCATCATCAGTTCAATTCGAGTCAAGCTTTTCAGGAGAAAAATAAGCTTGATTTTTTTGCAATTTTCAAATTCGGCGACCTTCTGTCGACCGGCAAACTCGTTTCAAACGCTGACCATAAGTAGGCCGTCATTTTCCACTTGGGGTCATTTTGAAATGGTTCGACCAAAACTGCAGCGAAACTAGTTTTCGAAATGGCTCCATCCAGAAACGCGTTCTGGGGAAACTGGCGGTCGATACGTACTTTGTCTTATCTATCGAGCCCATTAGAACCAACCTGCGTGAAAACGATTTTCTGGACCGCATGGAACATGGTTTCTTACGACAAGACTGTCGTACTGACCGAATACGAATTTCATGTGGCGAGACAAGACAAACTGTAGGCTCTAGTGTTGAAGAGTTTTTGTCGCCGGCATTGATGTTAAAGGATAAAATGGTTCATTTTAGATATTCCTGTTGCGTTCAAGACGTTCTGGGGTGGCGTGTGATAAATCGTTTCCGAGCCGGCTTTGTTAGCGACATTTAAGTCGGTCCTGCTATGAAGGATAACAAGAATAACGTGCAATTCTGGGCGTCAAATAAGACACTACTGTCTGCTCGCCCACAGTCTAGCTTTCACCGCACGAACGCAGTTCACTTCGGTACGCAATCCTCCGCTTCCAGAATTCCCACACATCCTACGTACTGGGTTCAAGCCGGAATCTGACACCGCTGACTTCCTGTCATTCTGCCTGTCAATCTCCCCAACCCACGTGCTGTCAACCAAACAGATACACAAACCCACAGCTCAGCCACCAAAACAAATACTTCCGTACTCGAAAGTAACAATATTTCCGTGGTAGAGATGATGGCATTTTTTTAAGAACAAGAGAAATATAGCCATAATTAACAAAGACTGACATGCGACAGATCGACGCATTCAACAACAGCTGCCTACGTAAAATTTGCCGCATCTTCCGGTCCAAATAAGATATAGAACGAGAATCTCTATAACAAAACTACCCACAAAATTACCAACAGAAGACAGGAATGGCTTGGCCATGTGTTAAGAATGGGTGACACAAGAATATGAAAAAAAAACAACCTTAAACTGGAGACCTATTGGGAAAAGATTGCAGACCAAAATCACCTGGAGAAGAAATGTGACAAATGGCCTAGCGTCCATGGGATTATCCTGGCGATCAGGAAAGAACGTGGCCAAGGACGGATCCAGATGGAAAGAAAAAAGTCATGGCCTTATGTCTCACGAGGGATGAAAAGGATAAGAAAGAAAGTAAGTAAGTAAGAGTAATATAAGAATCCACACCATGGGAAATAAGGAAAATGCTGTCCTGGCGGGAAACATCAGACGCCCACGCGCCATTATAAACCAGCAGGTCTCTCGGTACAAGGGGTAGTTTCCGCGGAGGTTTACAGATCAGAGATTTAATGTAGTCTACTTCCTAACCAGGCTCCGCCGGGGTCCGTGCGCTGGCGTAAATGGAACCTGTGGAGCATTAGGTGCACATAACTGTCGGTTCCGTGACGGAATAGTGTCAATTATAGGCACGACGGTGGATACAAGGAACCGATATAAACCCCACGTGTCAATATTGAAAGAGGAATCAAAGCACGGCACGAAAGTACATTCTTTAAATAAAGGCGTCCAGTGCAAATTCAGGCCGGCAAAACTGAATTTTTAAAGTCAATTTTCGGGCCATTCTTTTATTGCTGTTAGTTGAATAAATCCTATCCCAGAGTATACTGATATCTGTTAGGCAAAAATGTGATGTCGCTGACAGAAAACGGTTGCTTGTTTTGTACCGTAGGCTGGCTCTAGCTATTTATGGGCGTTACCCCAAAATAAAAAGACGCCTCACATAGCTTGTTTTTGGGCTATTTCAAACGCTTTAAGTATGGAATAATGAAGAAAATGTGTTAAGAAATCGCAGCAAATGTCAGACAGATTTCTTAATCCAGAATATTATTGTTTTTACGACCTAAAATTGCATCATATTTAAGCACACCTTAAAGCGTGGGTAAATGTACCGTTTCGTCAGCCGCGTGTACCTGTACGCATGCTTTAAACAAGGCATACGATAAACTCTAGATATTTCACAGAGGTATGAGATCTTCGACCTCTTGTAGCTGTTGCTATACCAGTCTTGTATCTCTCACAGTAGTCTGAATTCTCATATGTATGCTGTTCAGAGGAGTGCTATAATTGATTCACAAGCCTGCTATGATGTTATTATACAACTGTAATAAAATTCTATCCCAAGAGATCACTCCATATCACACCAGAGTACAATAATAGTTACCAGAAAGAAATTGACTTTGACACCCACTCGTTTTTCACTCTACTATATGGAACGGCATACGTATGGCACAGTTGTTTCTTTTTGTACTCAAAGGTGCTATATTTTTCTTTAAAGGGGCGGCATGTAACATTTTTGTACCAAAAATTAAGATATTTTAATTGAAAGAATTTTCGAGTGATTGTAATTTACCAATAATAATTGCACAACATGTTTCTGCAATTATCTCACATTTTTGACATTTATTGTTGGTGTTAAGACAGCCCACACCAGGCACACATAGTTTGTGGTGCCAGAATGTAAACAAGCATGGCTGACAAGTTTCCAGCTTTAAAACACACTTGTAAGGCGTTTTGTCACCTTCACTTCCTGAATGGCAATTATTTGCAATGGAGTAGGGTTGACTCAACTCACTTGCTGGAACACAAAGTAGCTTTAAGTTATTTCGCCCGAAGTTTTCACAAACACGAGAGAACTCAAAATGTGTTCCAATGTCAGACTCCTTGAGTTCTTGCTGACTTGCGTATTACAAGACGAAAAAGCATTAAGGACATGTCTGCATCTGTCTCCTGGCTAAGTGGTTTTGAAAGGGGTTGATGTTTCCTGCCCCGTGGGATGGTACGCTGAACGTCATGTCCCACAATCTGGGTCGGGAAAGGTAGCGGTTTGAAAACACCTGCGCCATCAAGACACGATAGACTGACTCCATCATCATCATCATCATGATGTTTTGTATACATCCTGTCGGTTTGACGCCAAATTTCTGCCCTGCCACATTC